AAATCCGATGAGTATTGAAAAAAGTTACGATCGTTTGAAGTGAAACACCCAAAACGCTAAGAACTTTCCGGACAACCTAATAAAAGAAATTGACAAGTGGATCCCGCATGAGTTGACTGAGCACCAGCAATCTCGTCGTCTCGAAGTCTGTTCGTCTCATCTTTTGCGGAACAAAAACGATCCTTTTCTGCAACGCATTGTGACGAATAATGGATTCAATACGACAGACGACGGTCAGGACAGTGGATTGGATCACGACGAAGCTCCTAAACATTTTCCAAAGCCGGAGTTGCACCAAAAAAAGGTCATGGTGACTGTTTGGTGGTCTACAGCCGGTTTGATCCACCACAGCTTCCTGGCTCCAGGAGAAACCATCACAGCGGAGAAGTACTGTGAGGAAATCGAAAAATGCACCAAAAATTGCATCGGATTCAGCCGGCATTAATTAACAGAAAGGGTGCGATCTTACTCCATGGCAACGCATGTTCATTGATGACAACAAAAAAACTGATGGAGTTGGGATAGAAGCTCTCGACCATTTTCCATACTCGCCATCCCGCCATACCTTTCCCCTACGAATTCATCACAGCATCCCGAAATTTTCTTACGCGAGAAATGCTTCCGAAACCAAGACGACGTAGAAAAGGCATTCAACGATTTCGTCGATTCCAGAACTCCAGAATTTTATGCTGCCGGAATATCTAAACTGCCCTCTCGTTGGCAGAAATGTGTTGATTCTTTTGGTCGTTATTTCGATTGAAAAGCAACACTTCGAAGCGAGTTATGATATTTCAAAATATTTGCTTCAAAACGGTCATTATTTTTGCCACGGCCATAGTAATACTTCACTCCTGATGAATCTGGGACAGATCGTCGTTTGGCTTTGGTGAAGAGGATTAGATATGATAAATTCTGCTAACGTTGCCGCGTTGCAATCCCAGCGCAAAGTAGGGTTGGAGCGGACCTGGAAGCCACGGTGTTTCTTTTGTGGGTAATACCTTTTCTGGTGCAGAGCTTTTGGGGAACTGAACGCCCTGTTGAGGAGCAATACTTCTGCGTTTTCCTACTAACCGTAGTCTGAATCTCTCCCAGTTTGAGAAATGATCCTTAGGGAGGGGGATAGGGTTTCGAATGGGTTTATGGCAAATCACATAGGATTTTTATGCTTCGAATGCAAACCGTGTCTCCTTTCATGTGCAATCTTTGAGAAGCACTCCTTTCATGTGCAGTCTTTAGCAAACCGATTTTTTTTTCACAAATCTCAATATTTTCTCTTCCCAAAAATAGCTACAGTTTTCCCGAAGACCCATGGTCTGAGTGTTCGCCGTACATTAGGCTCCCTCGCAGAGAGGGTGAAAATGAATAACTCCTAATGATAAGTAGTTTCCGTCCGTGCAATCAGATGATTATGAATGGTTTAGGATTCTTGCTACT